ATTATTAAAATAATTAATAATTATTATTTAATAAATTAAAATTAATTTATAAATTAATATTTTTAATTATCATAATTATTATTATTATTTTTTAAAACATTTTAGTCATGAGTCGACTCAAATCGTTACTCTTGAGGAAAGAGATATGAACCTTACAAAAGTGATTAGAATCACTTTACCTAAAAAATCAGGTTCATAATTAATTAATTATAATAAAATAAAATAAAATATCAATAAAATTGAACAATTTTTTGATGCGCTCTTTTGAGAAGGACAGGGCGAATGTCTGATAGCAGCAAAAAGTTCGATCTCACCAAAATCAATACCCCAATTGCAAAAGAAGTAATTGATGAGGAATTTAATGTGAAAAATCAAAATTTTATCCACGAAAAAAGAAGGCTTTAGATAGATGGAGGAAGGTAGAAGGCTAAAGGGAGGGTAGGAGACGGGTGCCCTGAAGCCAAGGGCTAATGAGGAGGAGAACAAGAGAGGAAGTCAGTCTTCAGCTCACAATTTGAGCTCCGATAATAATGGCGGTGGCATGAACCAAGGTAAGGCTCAAATGGGTGAAGAACAAGAGCCCAGACCACATCATCGATACTGAGACCGATCTTAACGCAGCTTGCCTTCTCAAGGATGCTTTCAAGCCCTCGCCTACCGACTTCCTCACCGCAAAGTCTTCTGCGAATTGGCAAAACGCTTCTAGGCTTCACAGTAGCTGTTCTTGGCTTTCTCCGCAGGTACTAAGCTCTATTTCACTAATTTGTGATCCCTTTTGCGTGGTTCTTGCTTTGTTTTTGGATAGGAAATTGAATGAAATATAGTGAATTTGAGAGTTTGACAATGTAGGATTTTCCTCTTCCTTTTCTATGATTAGTAATTGCTGGTATGCTTAGTTTAGTTCATGAAAATTATATTGCAGAGAGAATTTGTAGAGACTAAAGATGTTAATCTGGTGAAAATTTGTGATTCATGTGTGAAAAAGATCTCATTTTCTTGAATTCTCAATTGCCCCCTTTGCAAAACGCCTTGTTTTAATTTAGCTAATGTTGCAATGAAGATGTAGGATTGTTACGATTGTGGAGTTTTCAACTTTTTAGTGTAGATGCCCTACTCTTTTCGAAGAATTCCCACACGTACGGTATTCTAATTTGCCCTGTTTTCGATCTATTTATATGCCAATCTCATATGAATGATACTATTGTAGAGTGTAGAGAGACTTTGTAGAGTGCTTATGATGATGACAAGTAGGACCTTTGCTTGCTTAATTCTATATTTATTAAAGATTAGATTTTTGTTATTTTCCCCCTTTGGATTGATTTTGATTGTTTGAACATCTTGAGTGACAGACTGACAGGTATTCCTAGCAGCTTGATTCTTCTAACATTCTTTCACCATTTATATGTAGAATTAGAAAGAACCTTAAACCAATATAAGAAACAATTAGATTTATCTATGTTGTGTTCGTAATAAATGTGATTAATGAAATTACTTGTTTTTGTTTAATTCTAAACAATCTGTTCCACCCCATCAGAGATCTTATTGCATTTCTTGATGTTTCTCCAAAGTTTTTGGTTTAACACCTGTTGTTTTAAAGGAATGCTGCCCCATGACAAAGTAATTTTCAACAGGTCAGTACCCACTCATCCCATGCAAAGGTGGGTGTTGGTCTCGGGTTGAGCAGAGGAGGAGTATGGATCCATCCCTCAACAAACGAACACTTATTCACAAATTGCACTAGAAATTTTATTGGCACTCTAGATTACATATTTTACGCAGGTGAATTTCTTTGTATTCGTGTCTTAACAAACAATGCACATCCTGCCTCTTCATGGTTTCTATTCCCCAAGATTATATGCTATTATGTTTATGCTTTGAATTTTAGTTATTCATACTTTATAGAGAATTGTCTATGCTTTCAATTGACACTCTGGCAGTGGAGCCCTTATTGGAAGTCTTGGATGAGGATAGCTTGAGGAAAGACACAGCTCTTCCTTCTCCAGAATGGTCCTCAGATCATATAGCTCTATTAGCTGAGTTTTGCCGCATACCTAGGTGTAGACAGTGACACTCCAGGTATGCTTTTTACTGAGTCAATGCATGCTATTTTATCAAAAGCTGTAGGATAAGAATTTTCTGTATGTGTTTAAGGCAGAATGTCATGGCTATTTTCAAGCTGACCAACTATTACTTGTGGTTGTCAAATGCCTGGAGGTTCAACTTTCACCTCCTTGGCTTCAGTAAAAGATAAATGTTCTGGTCTCTCTAGTCATTAATGCATCTGGTTATGGGTTTCAGGTCTGTAGGTGCCCTAGAAAGTGGGGAAGGAGAAGCTGATGATACAGATATATTATTGCAAGAAGGGTAGGTGATCCACCCTGTGTTCGTAATCAAAGGATTGATGATAGGATCCTTGCAATGATTTGCTTTATATTATGGCGCCTTTGTTTCATAGGAAAATCATGGTCATGCCCTTTTTCAATTCCTTTCCCCCTTGTCGATAGAAATGTCCAGTGGCCCAGTATAATTAGTGATTGTCTTGTACTTCAGTTCTCTATGCAAAGTATATGGATAGCAGCATTGCGATTGTTTGCATGCCCCCTTCTTCCATCTTTGGCCTTATGTTCCTCCCTCCTTTTTCTTCATTGAGGAATAAAAATCTAAGTTCTTAGTGCGCATACTTTCTTCTTTCTTTCTTTCTTTTTTTTTTTTTTTTTTTTTTTCTTGTTCCTTATTAATGATTACAACAGTACAAGCAGTTGAAGCAGTAGTGACAGGAGAAAAGAAAGGTATGTTGTGTGGAAGTTTGGAGGGGCTCTTCTAAACATTCTTCACTATTTATCTATGTAGAATAGAATTAGAAAATTGCTTCAAGACAACAGAGAAAGGAAGGCTGTTTTTCCTAAATCACAGAATTATTATAAATTCACACGTATCCCTCCCTAACACAATGATTAATGAGAAATATATCGAAAATGCGTATTGATAATTACTTCATACACGTGAAAAGCAAAATTAAAAAGGCATTCAATGCTGAATTATTGTATTATGAACACCAATCCAACAAACAACAATATAAATTTTTGACACATTGCAGCTCCATAGCAGAAGAAACTAAAAAACAAATAATGAATACAAAGCATGGACTTTTGGTTACCTGCAACCAACTGACTATCTTCGTCTAATCAATTTCCAAGAGGTTTTCTACAATCCCAGTCAATAGCATACTCGCACCCTGACTGTGTACATTTGAAGAACACATCTTTACAATACTTGCCACAAACACTGCATTTAGAATAGTCTTGGTAATAGTCCTCCTTTGCAAAACTGAGAGGGTGCTCATGAAAACAATAATAGTCAGTCAGTCCGAGCTTCAGAAATGGGTATTTGCCAAGAACACATAAGAAATGAGCAAAATTATCACAGATTCCACAATAATAAAACCACTCATTTGGATCTCTTGATTCTTCACAAATATCACAGACACATTGATCCAAATGAGGATGAATATCATCGCGGTAAGTGAGTACCAAAAGATGTTCATCATTCTTGTACCGGGCTGTATTTGGCAACCTAAGACGGGTGTAATCCAAGGTGAAATGATCACATTCCTTGCGTCTGCATCTAAAGGCCCCTTTTTTCTGATGACCATTAACACAAATACTGCATTTGAAAATAAATTTGTGATCGAAGAAGACCTGGTGCCCATGTCCTTGAGTCGGGAATTAGAAAACATGGAATGCAGTAAGCGCAATCACTTGCCTCGATTTTGTAGCCAAGCCCACTGCTGAAAAAACAACAGAGCTCACATATGAAATGTTGGTAAGATCGAAGAGTAAAGGTGTCCTTGAAAGCCCAATGCCGTGTCTTTCTTGGTAACTCAGCACAACGCTTGTGAAGGATGTAATTGCATTTAGCACAACAGTAAGATGATGTTGAGATGGACCGCCTGCAGCCGTCACAACATTTTTCATCTTTAACATCATCACAAAGTATTAATTCGTGTCGATGATTGAAGTGCTTAATCTCTATGGCTATTACTTCCTCTCCAATTTTCCTTTTCTTGAGAACATGAGTAATAGAAGGCTCACCAGATAACCACCCTAATTTTATTTGATTGAGATTTTGATTTTCATCTGTCTCCTCATACTCTTGGATGAAAATGTCTCTGTCCAGTGCCTGAAACGAGCTTACGTGGCCCAATGAAAGGGGAAGTGTTGGCCGGAGAGTGCAGAAGGCGAGTGCCCCTAGCACTGCTCTAGTCTTTTTTATCAGCATTCGTACAAAAGGAATGGTGGAGATTAAGAAAATACAATAAAAAATTATATTCATTTTAAATAAAATACCCCTTGACATTCCTTAAAACTTGTTGGTTAACTCTACGAGCAAAAATCCAACTGAATAACTTTTTATTAATTTTAATTTTTTAATTTAAAATTAAAGTTAAAAATTTTAATTTTTATACAATTAAACAACTGGCAATTTTAATGTACTAAAAAATTTTAGAAAGAAGTCGAGAAAAAATCTCATTTCGCTGGAGATTGAACACCATATGAAATGATTAGATATTCACAACTGAAGTATATCTTTTTCTTTCTTCCTCTTCTCTTCCTTCCCCTCTTTCCTCCCTCGATTTTCATTTGGTTTAAAGATTTGAACCAAATTAACTATAATCATATGATGTGGGGTCAATAATATTGGAATGGGCAACGTGTGATGGTCCCTTTTTCTGCCGCACATTCTATGGCGTGGCTGTTATTTCCAACAGCTTGTAAATGATTCTCTCGCGTGTTTTCTCCGTATACCCTCAACTCGCTGCAAATCTGAAGGGCAAGAAAGGTTGTTTTAGAGCACATCTCATTTTGATATTTTTACCTTGTTGATTTTAACGAAATTCAAAAAGTATAGGTGAATTCATTGATTTTTTTTTATTAAGATCTTTTCATAATTTACTTTGCTTATTTAGATATAGAGTTTATTTAATTTAATACAATAAATATATTCT